TTTTTTCTTCTCTCCTTTTTTTTCTTCTTCTTGTTTTGGTCTTTTAATTGGTGGGCTGTAAGATACAAGTAAATGCTGTCTGCTTAGTTTGAGAGTTGCTGGGTTTTTCTGGTTCTCTTCTTATTGTTTTGAAGGGAGGGGTACTGAGGATTTGACTGAGGCCCCCATGTGCAAGGAAAGTATCCTACTACTGCCCTTATCTTCAGCCTTCTTTTTATTTCCTTTTGTATTTTGAGGTCAGTGGCCAATATTGGCCTTGAACTTGCTCAATTTTCTCTACAAATTGAGTGATATGGGTGTTTTTCATCTGCTTACCTAATATCTAACCAGAGATGGTAGGAATAACACATAAGTAAGTTACACTCTTAGACGTGCTTTATATTATCTGTTCTCATAGATTTCTTTTCTCCTTCAGATGGTAGATATCTAGATGATTCTTGGGTCAGCGCTCCAACTTCCAAATCTTCTAAACCACGAAAAGAGAAATCTCGTAGTCCGCTCAGGGCTACCACCCTGGAGAGTAATGTTAAGAAAAACAATCGTGTGGAATTCCGTGAGCCTTTGGTTTCATACAGGTTGGTATGGGAAAAGATGTTAGCAACCGGGGTTAGTCTATAATAATTACAATAGGAATCTGGTGGGTTTTCTGTTTTTGCAGTGCTCTGCCCTGAAATCCTGTCAGTTACTTTTCTCATTGCCGAGACCAAATGCCTGATGCACGCGCTGAGGAAGGAAAGGCTTAAGTTGGTTAAGTTGAAAAGAAATGCAGAGCAGTATGGCAGGAGGAACAACAGCAGACTCATGAAGCTGCTACTCAGACTGTGCCTGAGATAAAAGCAGAGGGAGCAAGGAAATGGGGCTGGGCATGGAATCTCAAGGCCTACTCTAGTGCCTCTAACAAAGCTGCACGCGGGGTACTATAGTGTTCAAACACATGGGCCTGTTTCACACTTAAGCCATGAAAGAAATGTGATTGTTTTCCACGAAAGATAATCCAAAAATAAATCAAAGTTCACCAAAACATAAAAAATCAAAACTCACCAACCCCCCCAAATTCAGCCCTCTCACATTGTAAAATATTGATGACTGTCTTTTTTGTTGTTATTGTGCTAGATATCAAACCCAGGATTTTTCATGTAGTAATCAAAGACTCAACCACTGAGCCATATTCCCAGTCTATCCTCACTAAGCATTTGAGTGGAAGGACTAGTAATGCTTGTGTGTGCCACATGTGTTGTTAGCGCCCAAGGCGGCCCTGGAGCTAGAGTTAGAGTTGGTTGGGAGCTGCTCCATGTGGGTTCTGGGAACTGAACTCTCATCCTCTGGAGGAACAGAAATTGCTCATGACCAAGCAGCACATACTCTGAATCATCTCTCTAGGCCCTGAAATGAAATCTTTTTTTACCGATTATATGAAGTTATTTATTCTTTTACTTTGTAGCAACTTAGATGTTCTTTATTAATGTGAATTTAATAGTTTAGAATAGATAATAGAAAATGTATATTTTTGTTACCAGACATTTAAGTACTAAAATTAAAGAATTATATATTTTTGAATCTATCTATCTATATCTTCAGTTTTTTGAGGCAGGGTTTCTCTGTGTAGCCCTGGCTGTCCTGAAACTCACTCTATATACTGGGCTGGCCTTGAAATCATGTGCTGAGATTAAAGGCATGCACCACTACTGCCCCGCTAATAATTTAAATGTATTCATGGCCTTAGCATGGCAAATAGAAAGAAGTAGCAAGCCCTGGCCCTTATACTTATTGTATTTATAAGCTTTGTGTGTGTATATACTTTAAAGGGTCAGTAAATCAAGCTTCTTGGTGATACTTGGTAATTTTAGGTATGTGTTTATATTTCCCAATTTTGTGATAAAGAATTGGGAAGAGGAGGTAAATAATGAATTCAATGTTTACAATGTTGGATTTGATACAAGTTAAAAATAGGTGAAGATAATAAAACATTTGTAAATGTAGGTAAGATATACGTAGCATGATCCTTGGGTATTGTTATTAGTATTGAAGCAAAAAAAAAAAGAAAAAAGAAACATGGAAAATCTGCTTGAAAACATGATTTCTATATCAAGATTGAGATTGAGTTACTGACTCCTTTGTATTCTGATGTTCTCGCATAGAATACTATATATTTAAAATTTTATAAATTATATATCTTTTAAGAAAAGGAAAACAATTACCCAGGGGACAGTTGTATGTGGAATGTCCTTTTCTACCTGGCAGGTTCTTCTGGGGAACATTTCCTATTGAAACTATAGCACTGTAACACTCCATTTTCCATGAAAATTAACTATGCTTCAGTAATACTAGATATCTTCCATTATAGCATGTCTACATTACATTTGATCTTATCTTCTCAAAGTAGTAATGTGCTAATTAATGAATATTCATACTAGTATTTTATTATGAACAATAAAAATTTTTAGCTAAAACTATTGTACAGTGAAGACCCTTGTACATATTCAGTAAAGATTTAGTGAGTGAAAGATTATGTGAAATTACCTTTTTTGTCTATTATCTTTTTTAAAAACTTATTTATGTATTTGCATGGGTTTGTATTTTTTTATAATTTATTTTTATTTTATGTTCATTGGTGTTTTGCCTGCATGTGTGTCTGTGTGAGAGTGTTAAATCTTGAAGTTACAGACAGTTGTGAGCTGCCTTGTGGGTGTTGGGAATTGAACCCCAGTCCTCTGGAAAGCCACCAGTGCTCTTAACCGCTGAGCCTTCTCTCCAGCCCCCACATGCATTTATATATGTGCATGTGTGTGCATGTTACCATAGAGGTCACAAGAGGGTGCCACATTACCTGGCTGGAGTTATATACAGATGTGAGTTATCTGACAAGCGTGTTGGGACCTGAACTCCTGTCCTGGCCAAGAGCAGCAAGTACTCTTAATCACTGAGCCATCATCCAGCTCCCTCAATTTTCTTTTCCCTTAAGAGATTATATGTAAATTAGCATTATATTTTGCTTTATTTTATTCTTTCCATGTTCTAATTTTAGACCTAAATATCTTTAACTTAGTTGTTAAAATCCTAGTGAAGATAGTGAACATAATTGCTTTTAGTCTTGGTTTTTGATGGCAGCCATAGAACTCATTTCTCAGCCCTATTTTGTTCACTAATCATCTATTCTGACAGGCTTTAAAGGGTTGGAGGCATAGACCCTGATGAGAATATGAGCAAAGCTGTAGACTAGCTTTGTAGAAAAATGCATGTGTTTATCTACTCATAAAAGATAGGATTTCTATGTTGAACAATGACCTAGTTTTTAAGAGTTTCTGTGGCATTTAGGGTTTTATGTCTTTATATGTAAAGATCTAGATTAGGCTATATAATAGTATTGTTAGTGTGAGTTACAATGTCATCTAAACATTTTTAGTAGTCACACACTAAAGAAAATGCTAAGCTACTATTTCAGATGTTGCAGGTCCAAACTGCTATTACATGGAGTGGATACTTTTATTTCTTCATGTCTTGTTGATAGCTGAGTTTTATTTGTCTTCATTTATTTCCATTTTAATAAACTTCTTAAGAAAACTTTTAGAATAGTATGCAAATTAAAATTGACTTTGAAGAAAAACTTCTAGTATTTTTATAAACAGAGACTGTGGACTTTGTACCGTGTCTTAGGCCCTGACCAAATGCCTACTTGTGACTTTTATGTAGTTGGAAGCTGTCACACATGTCTCTGGTTGCAAGAGGATTAACTTGAGAAGAAAGTTTATAGGGCTTCTTGCATACTAGACCTTTTTTCCTTTTTTAACTTTTTGAGACAGAGTGTTGTTACCCAGCCTGGCTTTGAACTTGTGATCCTTCTGCCTCAGACTCTCAAGTAGCTGTGATTATGGACCTATACCATTAGGTACTGGTTTTACTTTTTTAAACCTCTAGGGAATTTTTGTTGCTGTTTGTTTTACTTCTATTACTAGCTTCAAGTTCTCCATTTGTTTGTATGGCTGGTTTCAGTTTAACTTTTTTTTTTAAAAATCTCTTACTCAGGTTCTTTTTAATGGTCAAGCAAAAATTATTTGTGGTGTATGTAATGTTTTGATTCATGTATACATTGTGGAATCACCAAATCAAGCTCTCTTTTAAAAAAAAAAGATTTATTTATTTAGTATACAGTATTCTGTCTGCATGTATCCCTGCCGGCCAGTAGAGGGCACCAGATCTCATTACAGATATTTGTGAGCCATCATTTGGTTGCTGGGAATTGAACTCAGGACCTCTGGAAGAGCAGTCAGTGCTCTTAACCTCTGAGCCATCTCTCTAGCCCCCCAAATCTAGCTCTTTAATGTATGCATCACTTCACATACTTACTGTTATTTTGTGGTGAGAAAACCTAAGATCTAACCACTGGAGTTTTCAAGTCTGTAGATTCTTTGTTATTAACTCTTAATCACAGAGCTTTTCCTTTTCTGTCACAGGGAAACCCATGGTATACCTTTCAGCTTAAGCCCCAGTCATCTGGAGTCAAAGCATGCCTATTGTGTTCATGAGGAAAAGGCTGAGAGTGGGAAGCAAATAGTAGGCCAGCGGGAAGATCGGAATATCCATTGCTGTGATTTTGAAAGCTCTCAACCGTCTGTCATCAGTGATACAGTTGTTAGATTTTTAAATGATGGACCAGCAATTGATGCATTGCACAGTTCTGAATGTTTAATTAAAATGGGAGTACATGTAAGAACTGAGGAAGAATTGCCTAACAGAGCAAAAGGAAGTGAAAACACGTCAAAGCCTTCTCTTAATAACATGGGACACGATGGTGATCCAAAAGTGTTGCTGCTGTCTGACTCTTCTCCATCTTCTACTAGTGCCTGTAATTCCCAAAGACTAGATATTTCAAAGCGGCGACAGCATGATGTTAAACTGGAAAAACTCAAGGAGCGGATTAGGAAACAGTGGGAACATTCAGAAGAAATAAATGGCCAAGCCCAAACTCTAGGTCATATTGACCATCCAGTAATGGTTGTCAATGTTGATAACTCAGTGACAACAAAAGTCAGGAAAGTGGCAACAGCACCACCTGCTCCAGCATATAAAGGTTTGTAATCCGTCTTTATGTTTTTCTTGTCTTCAAGTCTTCTGGTTCCCCTAGAATATGCAGAACAGGTTGATTACCAAATTAGCTGTATGAGAACATTCTTTTTCAGGTAACAGTGTTAAAAATGCCAATTCTAGACCTACATCAGAAATTCTGGGGGTGGGGTCTAGAATGAGATTTTGTTTGTTTGTTTGTTTGTTTTTGAGGCAGAGTCTTACTGGTAGCCCTGGAAGGCCTGGAACTCACTGTGTAGAACAGGTTGTCCTCAAACTCATGGAGATCTTATATATCTTTGCCTGCCAAGTGTTGGAATTAGAGGTGTGTGCCACCAGAATGAGAGTTTTTAACAAGTCCATTAGGGAAGCTTCCCTCTTCAGCTCTTTCCTTCCTCCCATTTCCCCTGCTTTCCTCTACTCAAAGCAACCCGAATGTAAGATGACAGCATGAGCCACGTGCTCAGCTCCTTAGGGAATTCTTAGAGATTGAGTCGCTGCAAAATAGGAAATAGGATTAGTGCCATTTTCTGATAACCAAAAGAAATACTTTGCAATTAGCAAGAATTGTCGTAACAGTAGTGGTGAATGCCTGTAATCCCATCTCTGGAGGCTATAAAGTAAGGAGAATCTCTATGTTAAGGCCAGCCCAAACTGCAAAGAGTCAGCTAGGATGAACTATACAGCAAGACCCTGTATCAAAGTATAGTTTTAAAAAGGGATGTAGCTCAGTAGTAGCCAGCTTGTCTAGCATACTAAAGTCCCTGGGTTTAATTCTTTTTTTTTTTTTTTTTTTTTTTTTTTTTTTAGCAAGACAGGGTTTCTCTGTATTGTTTTGGGGGCTGTCGGTCCAGCCCGGCCTTGATCGAACTCACAGAGATCTGCCTGCCTCTGCCTCCTGAGTGCTGGGATTAAAGGCTTGCGCCACCACCGCCTGGCCCTGGGTTTAATTCTTAATACTAGTAAAGCAGTAACAAAAACCCTATTTAGAAGATAAATCAGTCAATTCCCACTGGACATAGGACAGCATAATATTTTGGCATTGACATGGATCCTGTTTTAACTTTAGATTTTTTTGTTTTGTTTTGTTTTTTTTTTTTTTGAGACAGGGTTTCTCCATGTAACTTTGTATTCACAGAGGTCCGTCTGCCTCTGCCTCCCGAGTGCTGGGATTAAAGGCGTTCACCATCACCGCCTGGCCTTTAACTTTTGATTTCTGACAAAGTTTATTTCTTCATATTTTAGAAAAATATTAAAATTGATTTGTGCTAACATTAGTACATTTTTATTGAGAAATGTTCTTTAGATCTAATTTCTTTTTATAGATAATTAAAGTTTTCATAAATGGTGACATAAGGGATTTCTGGTATTTTTTAAATTTATTTTTATCTCTGCTTTATGTGTATGAGTGTTTTGCCTGCATACGTCTATGTACTACATGGGTCCTTTGGAAGAATAGCCGGTGCACTTAATTGAGTCATCTCTCTATCCCCTGAGGTTTCTGTTTTTATGTATATGTCCCTTAGGTTATTTTTCACAGGACCATGTATGTAACAAAGGGTTGATTTATTGGTTGGTTAAGCTCACAGAGTTTTGTCATTAAATCTTTTACTGTAACTTTTCTTTTTTAAGGCCAGAATAATTGTTGTACAATTATTTACTAAGTGTGTGTGGGGAAGAGAGAAACAAAGAGAGAGAGAGACAGAGACAGAGAGACAGAGACAGAGAGAGACAGAGAATGAATGAGTTTTGGGGATGTTGAACTCATGTCAGCTTGAGGCAAGAGACTTTACCCAATGAGTCATCTCCTCTCCTCAACCCCCTCTGCCTTTTCTTTTCTGCATACTTTTTCAAGTTCAGTTTTTTTTTTTTTTTTTTTTTTGTTTTGTTTTTTTCGAGACAGGGTTTCTCTGTGGCTTTGGAGGCTGTCCTGGAACTCACTTTGTAGACCAGGCTGGCCTCGAACTCACAGAGATACGCCTGCCTCTGCCTCCTGAGTGCTGGGATTAAAGGCATGAGCCACCACTGCCCAGCTTGGTTGACAGTTCTAAGGATTTAAAATATATGCTTTGAAAAGCTTTATTATTTTTGTGTTCTAACCATTTGGTTCTATTTTTGGAAGTTACTTGTGTTAATAAGTTATATATAATTTCAGGGATAGTTTATACATAGCAAGCAATTTGTGCTTGTGCTTATTTCTTTTTATGCAGTTTTTATCATACTGAACCAATTTTGCATGCTGATGGATCTTTTGTTTTCTTTCTATTACATGTTCTACCTCCCTCTCTGTTTCCTTGTATTTGTTTGTGCTTTTAAAAAAAAAGGAGCTGAGGCAGGATTGTAAGTTTGAGGTCAGCTTTGAATTACATAGTAAGACTCTGTATCAAAAAATAAAATCCCAGAGATATGGTAATTATTTCATGAAACAGAAATGGTATGCGTGATAAGATGATTCTTGTTCCTATTGCACTTAATGCTTGCCTGTCTTTTTCTTTCTGGTGTAAAGCTCAATGAAGGTAAAGAGCAGAACTTGGTCATGAAATAAATAAGTATAATTTTTACTTTGTGTGTGTGTGTGTGTGTGTTTACATGTGTGTGGGTGCTTACATGCATGCCCATAGAGGCCAGAGGTGTCAAATCCTCTGTAGACAGAGTTACAGGCAGTTGTGCTTGTACATGTGTGTGGGTGCTTACATGCATGCCCATAGAGGCCAGAGATGTCAAATCCTCTGTAGACGGAGTTACAGGCAGTTGTGAGCTGTCTGATATGGGTGCTGCTGGAATCTCAACTAGGGCTCTTTTCAAGATCAGTATGTACTCTTAACCATTGAGCCATCTCTTTAGTCCCAGGGATTTTAAAAGCAATTCTATTCAGAAAATTGAATAAGCAGAAAAAAACTGGACATAAGAAAGGAGTTAATGATTTGAGGACTGAGAAACATTTCTATTGAAATCTTAACATATAGGAAGATGCAAATACAAAGAGGGCTTCTAGAAGTGTTTCCTAAACAGAGTGAAAAATATATCAAAACCCCAAAATACTCCAAAATCTGAAATATGGTAAGAATTGATAGAACATTGTAAGTGGAAAGTTCCACTCCTGACCTCATGTGGCCAGTCACAGCCAAAATGCAGGTACACAACGTTGTTTAATCAGACTCCCATGGGATTAAAAGCCCAGCTATGCCCCATCAGCTCAGATATATCTTTACCATGCATGTCCAGATTCCCTGACTCCATTGTGCTCACAGGGATAATGAAACAATGTATGTGTGGATCACATAGCAGTTGACTTTCCTCTTTGTTTCATGATTCTTTGTATTGTTCTTTGTTTCTATTTTACTGATTGCAGCCCTGAGTTTGATGATTTCTTGCTGTCTACTCCTCCTTTTTGTTCTAGAGCTTTCAGGTGTGCTATTAAGTTGCTAGATGAGATCGCTCCTGTTTGTTTGTTTTGTTTTGTTTTTAAATGTAGGCACGTAGTGCTTTGAACTTGCCTCTTAGAACCACTTTCATTGTGTCCCAGAAGTTTGACTGGAATAGCGACAGGTGAGAAGAAGGAGAGTAGGAGGGAAGGTCTGTGGGATCCACTGGAGATGTGGCAGAGGGGAAGAAGGAGAGTAGGAGGGAAGGTCTGTGGGATCCACTGGAGATGTGGGCAGAGGGGAAGAAGGAGAGTAGGAGGGGAAGGTCTGTGGGATCCACTGGAGATGTGCAGAGGGGAGGGGAGGCTGCAGCAGGTGCTCTGTTGCAGTGCTAGAGATGAGACTGGGGTTTTGGGTTTGGAGGAGAAGGGGGAGTGGTGATGGATTTCAGTTGGCTTACCTGTTTCCCTGTTCACAGGGAACGTCTACTGATTTTGGAGGTTGGGATACTGGGATGAGTTGGGGGAAGGAGGATGGGGGCAGAGAATCCCTGTGATCTGTTGGTGATGGATCAGAGAGCAAAGGGAGACCACACAGCAGGTTCCCTGCTACGGAGCTGGGGATGAGACTGGGGCATTGGACCTCAGGAGCGGGAGGAGACGTGTGGATAGGCCTTCAGCCTCTGTTGCCCTGTTAGGATTGGCTCTTGGTTTGGAAATTCTAACCAGAAAAGGAATGCAGTTTGTGGGAACTTCTCAGTCCAAACACAGCATTGTGTGTGTCCTGAAAGCTGCTATCAGGTTTGCTGTTTCTGTTGTTTAAAGCAGCTGATGTCTAGAGATACTTTGGATGAGTTTGTCTCTGTATTTGTGGAATGTAACATTTTTCACTGTTAGCTGAGTATGTGGGGAATAAGAAAGAACATGATGGCCGTCAGGTAACATTTGAATTCAGTCAGGATGATATTAATGTCAAACAACCGTAGATTGATCAGAAGGGTGGCAGAAACAATGACTGACGTACCTTTGTTTTCTGATGGTCAATATATAAAAACTTTGTTTTGTACACAGTATTGTTAAAATCTGTATAAACTTGCATTCAGCCCATATGTGTAAAGAATGCACACATTTGAGCTGTGTCATATCTGTGTGTGCACATATTCCCAAATCCAAAATAATCTCCAAATTTGAAACAAATAAACAAAAACTCCAAAGCAAAACAACAACAAAAACTATCAGATATTCTCTACCTATATGTTTAATATGACTCTAGCTTATTGTTCACATTGATTAAATTCTACAAGTATTTATTGGCTCCCAATTTTTTGGTAAGTAGAACAGTCCTAGAGCTGATCATGGCAGCATGCCTATACTCTGAGCACTTGGGATACTGAGGCAGGAGAATCACAGGTTATTGACCAACATGGGCTACATAATGTGACTGTATTTCATCAAAACAAAACCCCAATATATCTTTATTAATTTGGTTATTATCCACATTATTTTATTATTTTGCAAAAATAAACACTCAGCTCAGTATATTTCTTTTTTCTTTTAAGACAGGGTCTCATTATGTACTCTGTATGTAGATCAGACTGACCTCAAACTCACAGAGAAGTATATTAGTATATTTCTTTTTTTTTTTTTGGTTTTTCAAGACAGGGTTTCTCTGTATTGTTTTGGAGGCTGTCCT